TCCTTTAACAAAGCGATTAATTTATCACTAACCTCTTGATCGAGCATCTGGCTGATGAATGTTGGACGATCTTTTCCTTCATTACCAATATTTACTTTGATCAGAGGGTCTTGTGCTTGAGCGTATCCAGGTTTGATGATCCGCATCACTTCATCATCTAGTTCCCTTGTAAGTACTTCTTCTTCTAAACAGTCCACCTTGTTGACTTCTCGGCCAATGCTTTGTTCTAACTCGAATACTGCTAATTTGTCTTTCAGTGCTTTCAGGGCTGTCTCTTCTTTCGCCTTGTCATTGCATTCCTTATTGAAAGCCATTAATTTAGCTTTGAAGGCCTGAATATCGACCGTTTGCTCTTGTTGCTTAGAATTCATTCAAGACTCCTTAATTATTCTTTTGCCAATTACTGGCTCTTCTAGGGCCACTATATTTGGCCTCATCTGTCTGAACATTTCAGTGAGTGCGTCCACTGAAAATGGTTCTTTGCTTTGCGCGACAACTTGAGTTTCTTCCCCATCTTGTACTACCCTGACAGGTCCATAGTTTCCTTCGTACATAAACTTTTCCGCTGAGTTTGCTTCTGCGACAAAAGGCCTATGATCGGCCTGTACCGCCTCTGCTTCGCCCTTGTTATTCCAAAAAATCAGGCATTGATGGAGCGATGATGGTATACAGCGACTTCCGTGTATCCAATCTCTTCCTAGTAACACATTGTAACTAGTAGGACCATCTATTACAAAGAAAATTGTGGTCCTAGTAGTCGTCCCTATACTTATGTCCAATGGCATAACTCCCTTAGCTGAAATTGCTCCTCCATTGAAACTTGTAAGGATGACTTCTGTTGGAATCATGTCATCCTCTTTCTTTGCAAATTTCCTCATCATCCTAGATGAAATGGTGTTTATAGCTGCTCCATTGTCGACAAGCACTTTTGCCACAAGGATGCCGTTAACTAGAGCTTCAACGTACAATGGCCTCAAGTGTTTAGTCAATTTCATGGCTGGCTGTTTAAAAATAACCTTTTCGGCAGCCTCTATTTCTACTTCCTGCTTATTTTCTGTCGAATTATCCCCCTGTAATAAGTCGACGTGCAACATATCGCGCTGAGCCTCTGTCTCCTGAATTTCCTCCTTACTGTTTTCTAATGCTTCCTCATCAGTTACCCAACCTGTGGGAGGGGGCATTATTCTTGGAGGTGATCCATACTTTTCAGAGCGAGGCACTCTCTTCTTCCTTTTGGGCATCCCGTACAGTACGTAGAAATTGAAAGGACGCCCAGATGGTTCTCTCAACAAGTCTACTTCGCGATCTCCCTCTCGATGTAGTTGCTTCAACAGAGTATTGTGCGATACTCCTCTCCTTCTTCTTTCT